GGTAAACCCTAGCTAACACCCGGTAAACCCTAGCTAACACCCGGTAAACCCTAGCGGCAGATGCAGATGTGTACCACTAGTGTTTAAAGTGCGACTTGTACTCCGCAAAACACGGTAGCAATTCCTACCTTGCTTCCATCAAGTTGCCATTCGAACGTAGGCTGGTTGACGAAACCGCCGGCAACGCATGTAAAGAGGAAATAATCCCCTCGTAACAGGTCCACCTAAGGACATGAACGCACGCACAGACACAGACACATGCAGAGGGCCATTAACTCACATTGCACAGAAGCCACAGGAGGGGGGGGGGTGAGGGCTATTAACTCACATGGCACAGAAGCCACAGGAGGGGGGGGGGGGTGAGGGCCAATAACTCACATGGCACAGAAGCCACATCAGGGTGATGACGGTGGTGATGTCCATCCTACTTTTCATCAACAAATGAGGGGTGGGGGGGGGGGGGGGGTGGGGGTACTTTTTGTGTGGTTGCTTTGGTCCTGGAAGGGATGGCTAATGGGGGGGGAGTTCGACTGGTGTCGTCACTGTGACCCAGGAAGGAGAGATTTTCTGGTGAAGCTGGCTTGACCCAGGACTAGGGTTGAGGTTGGAGTACACACTGGTGTATCTGATTTGATCAAAGAAGGGGAAGGTGGGGGGGGGGGGGGTATAGCTGCACTAGTGTAACCAACTTGACCTACGTATGGGGATGGGGTCGGGGGGAGGGGGGGGGGGGGTAATACCGTATACATTCATATTAGCAAGTGTAGTACCTGATTTTAACCCAGGAAAGGGGGGGGGGGTGGGTGGGTAGTGTCTGCTCTGACCCAGGAAGTCTCTCTCTCTCTCTCTCTCTCTCTCTCTCTCTCTCTCTCTCTCTCTCTGCTATTGGCGCGCCCGGTTGTGATGAAGCCAAGACCCAAGGTCGGCAGAGCATCCCAGACCACGCCACCACTCCCCTTGTTCATGGCTCACACATAACGGGTTTACGTGGCTCTAGTAAAATAAAAAATATAAAAAATGAAGGGGGGGGGTTGGGTGGGTGGGTAGTCCCTGCGTTGCCCCAGGAAAGGGTATAAATACCGTGACGTTTACCCTTCCCGGGTTCAAGCTCCATTATTGGCGTGGTCACTTTGCACCGTGATGCAACGGAGTGGGAAGGAACTACTTGAAGGATTCCTCCACTTACGCGGCAATCCCACACAACAACAAAGTCTCTTTAGAAATCCACTGATGACAGTGACAAGAAAATCGATTTTGGAAAAATAATTCTTTTGAGACTTGATTGTTGTGCGGGATGACCCCGGAATTGATTATTATTCATTAGAATTACTAAATTGTTGTCTCCACCTCACTTATTTGATTCCACTTACATTGGCTGGCGGACCTTGAAGGATAAACAAGGAGAACAGGGGAGGTCCTGACATTTCCGGTGCCGTTGGAAAGGAAGGTACTCCTTGCGTTGGTGATAGAGTTGATGGCAATTCCTGTGTGGGTGGCAGGGTTGTTGCCACTGCCTGTGTGGGTGGTGCAGTCGTTGAAGCAACCGTAGTGCCAGTTGTAAACTGCGGTGGGAACGTTGGAGGTGGTGTCTCCTCCGTTACTTGACCTGTACATGGATATAGAGTGTGTGTGTGTGTGGGGGGGGGGGGGGGGTGCAGGGTGAGGAGAGTCACAGCCTAACCATTCACGGATCATGCTATGCGTGATTAAATCACATTGATGGTTGACTGCGTCACACAACCGGTATCCACCGAGTCACACAACCACTGTATCCACCGAGTCACACAGCCGGTATCCACCGAGTCACACAACCACTGTACATGTACATAGATAAGCTAGACACAGATTTGATATCATGCACCAATGTATTGAGTGTATGTGTTTCGGCAAAGTATTCAAAGGGCCAGGCACTTCTAGAAAACAAATAGGAGTATGCGTAGTACAGTCAGATCTCACTTATCCGGTCCTCTTTTATCCGGATCCCTCGCCATCCGGAAGAAACCCTGTTGGTTACCGATGGACAGCGTATGCTATGCACACATACAGTATGTGTGTTCGATTATCCGGTTTCCTCACCTATCCGGATATTTTTGTGGAAAACGTGTGCGGTTAAACGAGGTCTGACTGTATGTTCCATGGGAGTTGAGTGTTCAACTCACTGTTTGCTTTGCTGCCGCCATTCATGCAGCTGCCCTCTCCTCGAGTACATGCGACTGCATACACGCACAACTGACCTATGCATGATGGACTGAGCACATGCGACTGCATACATGCATGGTATGCATTACATGGACTACTGACCTGTGCGGCATAGACTACGAACAAGCAGCTGCGCTGAACGCAAAGCTCTGTTAGGTACCTCCTCCCGTACGTTCTACAACCTTTTCCAAGCTGGCTTGCATGCACCCTCGTACTCACCTTTTGTCTCCTTTTGTCATACAGGTAGACTCCCTTTAATTCGAACCTCAAATTGCCAGGCCCTAACTTCGAATTATCCGGAACTTCTAATTATCCAAATACAGCCCTATGCACTGATATGTATGTCAAAATGCTTGAAATCGCATGCTGAATATTTTTGGCACATTTTTATTTGCATCAACGAAACATAGGTGGTCGTACCGCGTACCGGTACGCGGTCATGTACAATGGATTATCAAAACACTGGATCGACACAAAATCATTTTGACATTATCTTCATCTTCTAAGTTCTAGTGAAGAAGTTGTCAGTTACTGCAGCTTTCCTGAAACAATTTCAACGGAAAAGAACTGCGCTGCCTAATCCGCGTCATGAAAGGCCGTTGGACAGCAGCACGTCGTTCTGAAGAACGGAAGTGGAGCAAAGGCATAGACAATATTTACGACAATAGTGTTGTTGTGCGCCAACATCTCCGCGCACGAGCTGGCGCGGTAAGAAAGGCCATCGAGATCCGCGAAGAGAGTCAGCCACCTGGAAGAAGTCGTCTTCAATCAAACATTTGCAATTTGCCTCGCACGGGCTTGAATCAAATTTCGAGAGAAGGTGGGTTTCTTGAACGCTATAGTCGATCCTGCAGCGGACCATCAATCGATTTTTGAGCTACTCTTGGCTAGAGAAGGAGAAAAGAATGAACTTCGAATTACAAGGATAGCAACTCAATCTCACTTCGAAATAAGCGTTCAAAGGACATAGCCAATGTACTGTAAACAGCTCTTCTGTACGAAGACTGGGTTCGAATTATCCAACCGGCGCACTTTCCGTACTTCGAATTATGCATTAGATTTTGACTTGAAGTGACTTGCAGAAGATCGGTACGACGAAAAAGTTCGAATTACACGGAATGTTCGAATTATACCGTATTCGAATTAGAGGGAGTCTACCTGTATTTTGTTCCGTTGGCCTGGGTAGCTACTTGCGCGCCCATATTTGCCAAAGCTAACCAGGCCCTTTATCTTGCCGCCCTCACTCGATCTCTTGCCTCTCTCTCCCGTAATGTAGTCGTTTCGTTCGTTTGTCTCCATCTTTTCGTCTGTAATAAATGTCTTCCCAACTACCCGTTCCCGTTGTCTGTTGTGCCGGGGAGTATGAGTCCTCTTCGTACTCTACAGCTCTATTGGTCTGGAGGGTCTATCATGTTCATTTGCAGATTCATGGAACATCCTGCCATCCACAGCTCGCTTCTCTACACCTATGAATAATGTTCCAGTAAACCTGTCAAGGCGACCACTCGGATAAGGCAACCACCTGTCCCAGAAGACCACTGCCACCAGGACACAGCCAGGGATACTGTTTCCAGTAAAACTCCCCTGGATAACAGAGACCACATTTTAAAGGTATAGTCAGACCTCTCTTGACCACACCCATCCGTTTTCCATAAAAATATCCGGATAGGCGAGGGAACCGGATAATCGAACACACATACTGTATGTATGCATTGCATTTGCTGTAAATCGGTAACCAACGATTTTCTTCCGGATGGCGAGGTATCCGGATAAAAGAGGACCGGATAAGCGAGGTCTGACTGTACCTTGAGTAGTCGTCTAAGACAGGTTTCACTAAATCACCTTTTCACTGAATTCCTTGGGCACCCTGTAAGACTATAGTCAGTTGGGTGCCCGAGTAAAATAATAAAATATCAACAACTCAGGCATACCCATGCATCACATGTCTTACTACACTCACCTGTGCATGGACTGGGTAAGACTGCGCAGAGCAGGCACAGTAGAGTAGTGGCGGCTGCAGCAGTGGTAGCAATGGTCATGTGACGACGTATTGACCTACTGCCCGGACGGACAGCACCCTGACGTGAACACTCCATGATGGTGAACATCAGAATGTGTGCGATAGTCGTGCTGCTGCTGCTGCTGCTGCTGCTGGAGCTTGCACAGGCTGTGTGAGCAAGGAGTGATCACAGAATCTGAGATAGAAGACACACGTGCACATACACACACACACACACACACACACACGCGCACACACACACATGTACCCACACACACACACACACGCACGCACACACGCACACACACACACACACACACACACTCGCACACGGAGAAGAGCGATCTTCAGGCCGACGTAACTGGTGAACATGTTGGCCTTCCGGTATCTGGTCAAACTTGCAAGACAGCACCACTCCTCGCTCGAACGCACCTCACGAGGGCCCTATAGATAGCAGACTGACTTATTTGGAGGCAACACCGCTGTGAACAGCAAAATTAATAGCTCTTGATGCGTAGCTCCCATCACTCAATGTTCAACACTGCATGACTCATGCTGGTAGCTGAGACCTCATGAGGTGTGTATCATTGGAGACAGAGCCGGTGTCACTGCAAGTTCTTATCCTCAGTGATGTTCGGGCTGCCGCGAAGCACTGTGATATGCAGTGACTGTGTTCATGGAGTGACTGTGTTCATGGAGTGACTGTGTTCATGCAGTGACTGTGTTCATGGAGTGACTGTGTTCATGCAGTGACTGTGTTCATGGAGTGACTGTGATATGCAGTGACTGTGTTCATGGAGTGACTGTGTTCATGCAGTGACTGTGTTCATGCAGTGACTGTGTTCATGGAGTGCAATTTTTGCTAGTCTACTGAAGCCCAACTCTTGAGGGGGGAATTCCCCAAAAATGGGGGTGAAAGTTGGCACTGAGATCCCAGGTTCGAGTATTCTGATTTTCTCCGAACGAATATTCAAGTATTCTTCATCTCCTAAAAATTGCACACCAAGGGCCTTACAATCACATGATACAACCCTGATCGAACCGAGTAGCAGTCATTTTTCTCGGGTATTATTGGTTGGTGGGTCATTTGGGCTCTCTCTACTCGTGAACAAATGTTCACCACACAGTCTGCACATCAATATCTGCCGACTGCTGCTCGGAAACTGAAGATGTCTGTGGCAAATGCATGTACCATGTATGAACGAGTACTCTGATTTATTCCGAGTACGATTATTTTTGAAAAAACCGAGCGAGTACTCGAGTATTTGGTATAATTGTTTCATCCCTACCCACAGCACTGTCTACTTAGCAGCTACGCAATGGTGCTTTCTTGCAGGCCAAGTGACGAAGGCTTGGAGTGATGTCCTGCCCGTGTCTCTCCTTCCCTCTGCATGTGTCTGCCCCTCTGCGCGTCTCTCCATCCCTCTGTCAATACCCCTCCCTCTCCCCCCCCCCCTCTGTCTCTCATTCTGCCCCTTCCCTCATCTTTATGTCCCTCCTTCCCTACTGTCCCTGCCGTCGACCTATCTGCCCCTGTCCGCCTTCAGTTGGTCTATCCTTCCCCGCCCACAGTCTGTCACTTTTTCTCTCCCTTCACAGCTTCAGTCTGCCTGGCCCTCGGTCTCGCCATCACCGAATATTCTCATTTTTTCCCTGGCTCTGTGTCCCGCTGTCTCCCCCAACGCTGTGTTCCCATCTCTCCCATCACATGATGTCTTCATCACTCCTATCGCAGGATCCCCATCTCTACACTTAAACTCTGTGTTCCTATCTCTCCCCTGCAGCTGACAGAGACACAGTCACAGGTGGAAATGTTGTGCTCCTGCAGCTTGTACTGGCAGTGCGACTAAAGTGATCTGCCTTTTCGGTTCCATACGTACACACTACATGCCGCTCCATGCACGCTACAAAGCCTACATGTACCTTCACTAGCGATGATCCCTGGTTTAGGAGAAGAACATGTTCGCACCCTCTAGTCAACGTATCACATCTCGCCAGGAACTGGAACTATCAGGCAGCTGGAATGGGTGCCGTTACGGCCGTAGACCAACCGTTTCACCAAGCACACCACTTGCAAGCCGCCGTCCCTGCCGCCGGGCTAGAGACTCGACTAGACTGACGATGACCACACAGCCAACAAAGCCAATCCTATTTTTATAATAACGACAGCATGTGCCTTGGCTGGAGCAAGATTTAAAAAAATGCGGAACGAGTCGCTTCTTACCATTCAACTGAAGTCCTGTCGTCGTGTCGGGCGTGACACATACGCGCACTGAGGCGGAACAGTAGCGACACACAGCGGACGAAGTCAGTGGTCGAGTGTCGCCTTTGCGGGCTACCTCCGGAACGCGTCCATCGCTACAAGTGCAACTCCAGCAGGCCTGGTTCACTAGCACACACCTGCACTCCCTGCAAGACTATCGCGTACTAAGCAGTACCCAGGCACCGGAGGACGCTTGTTTTCAGATTGGGAAGAAGTTCAAACATCAAATTTCCGACACAAGCTATTTGCTTACTGGTTGGTTCATTTATTACCCGGTAGTTGACCGCCCATACTCCCTACATCTACATGACTATTGTACAGTGTCCGGAGACTTGGGACAGCATCATGATCCATGTCATGATCCAGCACTGCACTGCGGCAGGGTAAAAAAAAGCTGACAAAGTGACAGTGTTCAGAACGTTCAGAACAGTCTCATTTCGAATTATTTGCTCGCTCACTTGCCAACGGATGCTGTCGCAGCACACGGCTGTCAAGAAGCGGCAACTTAGAAAGATGGCGTCGGTTCGAGATGGCATGGTAACCGCGCACGTGCCGTGGTCCGTGACTTGCTCATGTATGCACGCAAATGCAAGTCACAAACTCACAAAGATCGTCTTTGCATTTGGAGAAAATATCTTCGACTCTCTTTGGAGGTTGGCGAGGTTTGCCTAATCTTTACTTGATTGCGATGCCGGTATGTCCTCTCAATAATTAGAACAAAGAGAGCTGATGATCGCTTCATTGCTGAGCAGAAGTAACAATCAACTCTCCTCATGTCCTCAGTGCCAAAGGCAGACGACTGCAATTCCACAACGAGCATTTCACGGTGATGGAAACAATAATCGTGTACTAGTACACACTTGGACCATTTGGTCATCCCTATTCTAGCCGCTAGTCCGTCCAGCAAGCAGATATTGACTATTACGATAAGTACAACTGCGTGAACGAGGGCTCACGCAGCAAATTCAATTCAAGACGTGACTCCAGTCAAGAATTAGGGTCTTTACTCGAGAACTTCACAAATACAGGTCAAGGCACCCCACAAAACTGATAGATGGCACGAACGAAAGACAAATAGGCTAGACAAAGTGTCCCAAGTGATTGAAAACAGCAGATCTACCAAATAAGACAGCTACATGTGTCTAAACAACGATTCCCATACAGTACAGAGTAGTATCAGGCAGAATGAAAGCCTTGGAAGTGCACAAATACAGCCACGACCGCCACAAAAATTGGACGACCGCCACAAAAAAATTCTCATTGCTCTACCTCCTTGAAGGGTGAAAGTTACCAGTTATCCTATAGCGATGTCAGTTTATGCCTGTTGGAACCCCCCACAGCCCGCACGAAATACCTTTCAAATAATTCCAGGATGCAATTGCAGCTCCAGACAGGAGGAAGAAGAACACCGTGAAAAATAACGGCAACGATGCCCAAACTCTCGGGAAACGGCTGAAGTCTTCCTGAAGATGTTAACATTGAATAGCCATCGATTACCAGCGTGGTTTGGTGACTTTAGAACTGTTTTGAGACTTAGAACGAAGCGATATCTCAAATTTGATGGAATTGTTACCTGTCAAATGCGTGGGCGAGCAGGCCAGCTGACTGGTTATGCATGAACATGCATGAGCATGCATTGATTTTTCATGGTTCACGTGCAGAAAACTAAGTTGCCGCGATCCAAGTGCAGCTAACAGCCGTGAGCACACTCTTACTTCTTAGTCTAGTCATAGTTCTAGACTCTACTGATCTCTGGTGTAGTCAATAGAGACAATACGTGACAATAGTCAGTAGTCCGAGTTCAGCTCGATCTGCGTGGCAACGGTCAACACTGACAACAGTTCTTGCCTTGGCATCCCCTGACTCTGAGAGCTGTCACTATGGTCACTGACAGTACGGAGGATTAGCAAGACGAAATTCGCGTTCGCGTTCGCTCTCCAAAGAAAGTCGAACTCAGTGACGGAATTCGCGTTATGAGAAGGATTAGCAAACAGAATTCGCACATGCATGATGATGTTGACACGACGTAGGCAGTACAGCGTGGTAAATTTATGACTGCCCTGACACGAATCCACGATTCGTGTTCCGACTACTTTTCCGAACGAAAAATGCGAAAGTTCGCAATCCAGTTCGCGAACTGAAAAATGTTTGCGAACGCGAACGCGAATTTCGTCTTGCTAATCCTCCGTAGTGTCTATAATGTCGTGACCAGGTGACTAGTACTAGTACTAGTAGTAGTGTCACAGCAAGCAAGGCAAAACGGCAACCAGCCTGACCACCATGCTGATGCACTGGCACCACTGCCGGCACTGGCGCTGGCCTTAAAATTATTCAAATAATTCAATAACTTTGAAACTACTTTGAAATACAAAAATCAATTCCAATGCTAGTAATAGAAAAGGTAAAAATCAATTTGAACACAGCAGTCCTACTAAAACAGTAAAAGGTGTTTTATTGAACGCACAAAGCTCAGTGGCAGTAGTGGCCCTGGCAGTAGTGGCCCTGGCAGTAGTGGCCCTGGTAGTAGTGGCCCTGGCAGTAGTGGCCCTGGCAGTAGTGGCCCTGGCAGTAGTGGCCCTGGTAGTAGTGGCCCTGGCAGTAGTGGCCCTGACAGTAGTGGCCCTGACAGTAGTGGCCCTGGCAGTAGTGGCCCTGGCAGTAGTGGCCCTGGCAGTAGTGGCCCTGACAGTAGTGGCCCTGGCAGTAGTGGCCCTGGCAGTAGTGACCCTGGCAGTAGTGGCCCTGGCAGTAGTGACCCTGGCAGTAGTGGCTAGCCCTCGGCGGATAATGCCAAGAGTGTACTCTTGGTACTACTACTACTAGGCCATGTTTGACCTGGTTGAATGACACTGATGAAATCTCGCTTTGCTTCCTCATATGTACTGACGGCGATGCGCTCGTTCATCTTCTTGAGCTTTTCGTTAAACTCTGTGCAGAGTGCACCCTCTTGCCGTCTAGCACTGCGCTTTTCAAACTCCTCGCACTGTCGGAGCCTCTTCTTCACATGTTCCCTCAACTCATCGCCTTCCAATCCTAACAGAATTCCATTGGCGATAAAGCGGGCTTCAATGATCCATAGTTCCTGTGCCATGCTCGCTTCGTATCCTGGCGTGGTCGCCAAATGTTGTGAACCCTCTGGTTCTCTAAAGTGTCAGGAACGAACGACTCCACACGGCACGAGGACAACTATTCACTCTTGACAGTATATTTTACTTCCATCGACTATAACAATGAATAACTAACACTAAAACCACCAGGTAGTTATAGCGTGAAAATGACAGCGTATATGAGAAAAGCATAATAATTATAACATACAACTACAGCGCACACAGCAAACCGCACATAGTGCCTATGGCGTATACTACGTCGTAAACATCAGCGGTACGGCGGAGTCGGGATACAACTGCATTGAAACGAACACAACGTCACAAGCGAGAAGGCCTTTCACTCTTGAGAACTTGTGGTTTCGCAACACCCTCCACTTACCCCTCCATTTACCCCTCCACTTACCCCTCCGCTTACCCCTCCACTTGCCCCTCCACTTACCCCTCCGCTTCCCCCCCCCCCCCCCCCCCCCGCTTACCCTTCCACTTACCCTTCCGCTTCCGCTTACCCTTCCACTTACCCTTCCGCTTACCCCTCAGCTTACCCCTCCACTTAGGCCTCGGTCACACATGCACTTTTTTTGGCGGTTCCGCCAAAGCGTAGCTTACGCTTCCGCCGTTGCCTCGGCAACGGCGGAGGCGTAAGTTACGCTTTGGCGGAAAGTTTGGATTTCGCTACGCCAAAAATATGCGAGCGGAACCTCCGCTATCGCGGATCCGCTTTGGCGGAACCTGCGTGGTGATGGCTTTGGAGTTTGGTGTGCTACTTCTGCGCTGAGTTCTGGTGTTGTTTGGTTGCCGTTTGGTATTCAGTTTTCATATTGTTCTTCTTTGCCTATGTACTGTACGTTCTGGAGATCTCGCAAACGATACTGCATCGTTATGAGTGGATAGTTGGTGAGGGATCCGTCTCCCAACTCATTGGCCCCGATCGCGGACGATCTCCAACTCTCTCCTTCTCTCTCCAAGCAATGCGTCCACCAGAGTATGCAACACTAGGACTGCAACCAGGGAGTAGTAGAGTACTCTGCCACACCCTCACTGCAACTGCAGGCATCCACGCAGTCGCTGGGGTCGATGATGGATCATGGAGGAGGCAACGACACCCTGCTATAAAACTATTTGAATTTGATATTGATGTAAACTAAACTAATATTCAAATACACCTGGACTGACAGGACAGGAGACATTCAGCAGCCTGTCAGCGATCCACGATAGCTCTACTTGTACTAGCGAAGGTCGCTTCAACTCGGACAAGAACGACACCCTGCTATACAACTATTTGAATTTGATATTGATGTAAACCAAACTAGTAATAATAATTCAAATACACCTGTACTGGGCCGCAGTGAATGCGCCCCAAATCCACGAGTGTACTTGACAGGAGACATTCAGCAGCCTGTCAGCACTTGTACAAGCGAAGGCGCTTCAACTCGGACAAGAACATCTAAAATTTCATAGGTCGTGCTGCATTTGCATTCTCTCCGCCAAAGCGGAGCGTTGAGGAGCACAGTAGTCTACATGTATGTGTGACCGCTGCATCGTGTGGTCCGCCAAAGCGGCTGCGGTAGTTCTGCTTTTCGCCTCCGCAAAAGCGGTGCAAGCTTTTCATGTGTGACCGCGGCCTTACCCCTCCACTTACCCTTCCGCTTACCCCTCCGCTTACCCCTCAGCTTACCCCTCCACTTACCCCTCCGCTTCCCCCCCCCCCCCCCCCCGCTTACCCTTCCGCTTACCCTTCCACTTACCCTTCCGCTTACCCTTCCGCTTACCCCTCCGCTTACCCCTCAGCTTACCCCTCCACTTACCCTTCCGCTTACCCCTCAGCTTACCCCTCCACTTACCCCTCAACGTACCCCTCCGCTTACTCCTCCGCTTACCCCTCCGTTTACCCTTCCACTTACCCTTCGGCTTACCCCTCCATGTACCCTTCCGCTTACCCCTCCACTTACCCTTCCACTTACTCCTCCGCTTACCCCTCCGCTTACCCTTCCGCTTACCCCTCCGCTTACCCCTCCGCTTACCCTTCCACTTACCCTTCCGCTTACTCCTCCATTTAGTAAAATAAACAACAACAACAACAACAACAACAACAACAACTTACCCCTCCATTTACCCCTCCGCTTACCCTTCCACTTACCCCTCCACTTACCCCTCCGCTTACCCTTCCACTTACCCTTCCGCTTACCCCTCCACTTACCCCTCCGCTTACCCCTAACAGTCGGTAACAGAGTGAAAAGGGAGAGAGGGCTGTGGCTCCGCCTTTTCATGGTGCTTTGCAGTCTACCAGTGAGTCGTAGTGGCTGCACTGCGTTCCTAGAAGCTGAACCTCCTCTTTGAACATCCGACTCGGACGGTCGTCAGTCTCGTCACCGGCAATACCGTAATTATGGTATAACGTGTTCATGTACGTACCGGTACAGCGGTATGAGTGAGTGTGCGGATGTGTGCACAACGATCACGAGTCTACTCGAGTGGATCATGGACCAATACAGTATACTAGTACTACTAGTACTCTGTGCAGGTGGACGGAGAACGTGCGTTTTACGACTCCGAGCTCCCAGGTACGAGGTGATTTGGCTTTTTTTAAACATTTGGCATTTTTTAACAAATGTGTAAAATTTGCTTTTCTTCTGGCTGTTTCTCTGCTCCGGATAGCTGTATCGAAACATGGGTGGTGGCAAATTCAACATTGACCAGAAAATTTGGTGCATATGATAAATTTTAATTCTCCCTGCCAGTCGGTATAACTAGTGGTGGGTGCTTTGTAGGCCCTGGCGGATAATGCTCGAAAAGGTGGCAGATTCTGCTCGAAAAGCAGTGAAATTGGCAGAACCATACAAACCTTATGGCGTGCAGTTCCTCGAATTCTGCTCCATTTCTTTATCCACATACCAAACATGCATGAAACTTGCCAGAAAAAGTACCGAATTCTGCCAATTTTTCTGCCGGCAGAATCCGCCAAGGCCTAGTGCTTTGCCATTTTGTGTAAAATGTGTAAAATGTGTAAAATAAGCCCCTGAATGGACGAGGGGGGCAGTGAATTGCTTCAGCAGGGCATTTGGACGAGGTCAGGCCGTCTTGCCATCACTAAAGACAACAATGAAGAACAGTAGGTCACGGAATACACTCTGTGAGAACGAAAACATGGCTGCGATGCTATGCTACCTATCCAATTCTACCGTATGACACAGCCACTAGTTATAAATTCAAAAACACAGCTTTCGCAGCATACTATGCAGTTGACAGATTAATTTTCATCCACTAGCAATCCTTGAAGTGAATTTAATTCTATCAACTTCAGAACATTGATGACCGAATATCTCAGTTTGTGATGCCATTTTACACCAATGATTTAAATCCTGAGAATACTATGAAAGTAGGGCATGATTCAAGACACTTTCCAAAGTGGGATCATTCCCATTTTTTGACACAACGGGCATGAAGGATAGCACTTTCACCTCGGCAACAATTCATTTGGACGTAGCTTGCCTAGCGCCTAGAAGTGGCTGAAAAAACGTCATTTTACAACCATGTTAAAAAAAGCCAAATCACCTCGTACTTGGTCTGAGGATCTACAAGAGTATTGTTAGTTGTACAACCGGGCGCGCGCGTGGAACAACACGGCGCGCGCTGCCTGCACGTAGGTCTACGGGTACCGTGACGTACAAAGACTAAGTAGCGTTGAGCGGTGAAACTAATTAATTATTTTAAAATTATTTTCGAAAATGGAACAAAAAACTTGAGCGATTATTTTTTTGCGAATGGAATGAAAATCAACAAAAATAATGATGAAAAGCATGCACGCCTCGCGCCTGTGCATGCATCATGCCGCGCAAGCAGGATGGATAGGTTCGATTCTCAGTAGTCTACAGACTGTGGCCATGGTGTCAGTGTCAGAAGAAATAATTGTGACTTTCTTGAACAGATCACAATGAATCATTAGTATTAGTAGAGAAAAGGGAGGAAGTGGTTGCAACACAACACCTACAGAATGATCAGTACAGTCCGTTGGCGTTGAGTACAGCAGGTTTGGTCTTGTAACCGATTTCGGTACTGCCAAAATGCCTACGAACCCGTCCAGTGCAGCTGGCGATGTGCCAGGTCGTGGGAAGAGACAAGTTGCTAACTCGCCCATGGCTGCAGGTGTGCTGGCTTTTGAGAACCGGACGGATAACACGGGTCGTAACAGTTCATCCGATGGCACTACCGGCCAGCTCTCTGTTGGAGGTAGGCCAGCCCTGCCCCAGTTTACCTCCATCATTGTTGTACCTTGCTTGCTTCTGTTCGAATTATTATTTTGCAACTCAGTGTAATTGCAATCGTTATGGCTTATTCGCTTTCTGGCTTCTGACCGTTGGAATTTTCTCCCAGCTGACATTCGCTCTTGCTCCTCGTTTTCACTATTCCTCAAATCTGTATGTGATCACATAAGGCACCCTGTAAAAAGGCCGTAGGCCTGTGGGGATTGCCCTATTCAAAATTTTAACTAATAATAATAATGCAATGAATATAACTAAATGCGCACTCATATCACAACCATGGGGACGAATAATGTATTCCAGAACGTTTTCTTGTCACAATTATCAATGGAATTCGTGACTAAAGAGAATGATGAAACTACAATTTTTTTATACACGTGGAGTGAAACAATGAGGATACAGTAGGTATCGGTTATAGCGTGGGTGTTTGAAAAACGACTTTCTATTCTTATTTCCGATATTTCTTACGCGCGATAAATATAGTGTGACGTATCATTTGCACGTGCGCAGAGCCAGGAAGATCATCATACATGCAACGTAGTGCTGCTGTGTATGCGGTTGCTCGTACTTCCAAAGTCGTCCCATACTGGGCCATAGCCTGCATACCTGGTAGGTTCACCATGTGGCTGAGCAACATGAGTTGCATGACGACAACAGATGCACTTGCAGCATTATAATATGATGCAATTCGAGTCGGTTCAGAACTGTATCGGGCAGATGTTATTACTACAGGCGATACACTTTGTTCTAATCTGGCATGTTTTGCTACACAAAGTCCATTCTTAGGATCGATATAATTATTCTATTACACGATAACATTGCTTGTAAGAATAAATATACGCATGAAACTCATGTTATGATTATGAAAATATGAGAGTTCATTCTTGTAGGCAGTATATTCTTTCACTCGACCACGCTATAACCGATACACACTGTACAAGCATAGTCAGAAAAATAGCACAAACTTAGGAAAAATTTGCACAGGTAATAAAAACTATAGGTGAGGTGAGAAAATGATAGGAAATTCAGCAAGTGCAGTGTGACAATGGACATGCATGTGCAAGTGTGTGTGAGTGCGAATTTACTGGAATAGTGTAATAATAATAATAACTGAGTGTAATTGGGCCTCGGGGTGAAAGCAGTAAAACGTCATTGAAAAACCCTCCGGAAATA